ACATTGTAAATATCAATAGAAAAGATAAAACCATGAGCTTTAGTAAAGCTGTAGCGTCAACTGTAGCTTGTGTAACCGTGACGTCACACTATCAAAAGAGTTTAAACATTGTGATCTTTACCTTAAATAATCGTCAATATTAAACATCGAAAATAAATATAAATGCAGGAACATGTCAAAAGAGAAAATTTATTTCATTTTTGATAGATTTCGGCAAAGCTAATTAAACAAATGTAATATTGAGAGAATGAACTATATACAATGTTGAAAATTGGAACTGATGAAAATGTTTCCTTTTAATGACGCGGTCGGCACATTGACTAACATCAAATTATATTGGAAAAAGTAATAAATATTATATTATTTACTAATACTGGTTTTAAAATGGACCGCAATACAATTCATTGTTTTGTTCGTATCCAATTCCCATGAGCAATAATAATAAAGTAATGAAAAAAACAGAGGGCAATCGAAACGCCCCGTCTCATATTTTGTGAACACATAAATAAATGACTGTCTGAATTTATTTTCTATTTCAAAACTGCAATATAATTCAAAGATGAAACAAAGAAAATGTGCAATATTAAATGTCTTTGAATTACAACAAAGACATTTCCTTGGAACTGAGCTTATAAATGTAATAATCCTCTTTCCTTGAAGCGTCAGTGAAAATTTAGTTTCACTTATGTAGAAATATATTAAAAGTGTTTGCTTTAAAATGTTATATTTTACTTGTAAAACTCAGCATTGTGAAAACTCTTACTCCATTCAAAAATAATGTAAGATATTAACAAAATTTCGAAACAATACTAAGCTTCCATGAAGAAATGAGTCAAGTAGCGCTCTCTAATAGGGCTGGCTACAATACGTTATTAAATCCTATTCAAGTATGCTACGTATACGAAAAAGTACTTCGTAAAAAAATATATTTATCGTTCATTTTAGAAGATGTTGAGAAAAAAGAAGTCATGATTTAGTTACGTATAATACTTAATCGTAGACTTTATTACAAACTAGCTGTCGCCCGCGACTCCGTCCGCGTGTATGTATTAAAAAAAACTTAACTTAAATATTCTTTGAGACTATATTCTTTATGTATGCTAAATTTAATCGAGATCCGCCGAGCCGATCTAGATATATCTTCAAACGCCCATCCATCCATCCACATCACATCCATCTAAACATTCGCATTTATAATATTAGTAAGTTTAATGAAAAGCAGATCTTCAAGGCATAAATTCGAAAAAAAAATTAATCAATAGTATCCTATGTCTGTCTCCTGGCTCTAAGCTACCTCCTCACCAATTTTCAGGCATATCGGTAAAGCCGTTCTTGATTTATAAATAGTGTAACTAACACGACTTTCTTTTGTATATGCAGATATTTTTATTTAATTATTCTATTTGCATTAGTAGTCTGAGAATGGAAAATATGTGCTCTCGCGATGTTTATTACCTACCGTTCCGGGAATATTTATTACCATTACTATAATTGTTTATTTAAGCTTTGCAAAACAATCAAAATTACTTTTATTCGTGAAGACTTTGGAATAAATTGTTAAGAAAACATTCGTTTTAAAAAATGTAAATGCAACGTTCTATAAAAATCTTAAATCAATCTAGATACTTCTATTCCAAACTGAACTTTGTAGATAGAATATTTTAAATCTTTTGTAGAGGAAAACATGTTACGAAGGGCAGGAGGAAGGTATCACGACTTGTTATTCTGTGTTGCGTAAGTATTCTTTTGAAACATTATTGACGTAAATCTTCTATAAATAGTCAGGGGAAAAAAGTTACATTTTTATACGGTTTTACAATCAGAAATTGGCAATATCATACTTTAAAGAGCCCCTCAATGATTTAGACTAGATGTTACTCACGATTTTGTTGACTTCAAATTAAATATTAAATATTTTTCCATTTCGGAAAATCTTTAACAGATTGCATTTTAATTATACGCGCATGTTGGAACAAAATCGTCCCTATCGCTTGTACGTTCTCGCTGTCGGCCAACTGAACACGGGAGAGGATTTCGGCGAAGCGACGGCGATAATTAAACAGGCCTATTGAACTTCCACATACGTCAGGTACATTAAATACGATAGACAATACCCGGAAACATCGCGGAATTACGGACCAACGGACAGCCAAAAGAAAATTTAATTTGTCATATGTCACCTATATTCATATTTTAAGACGAGAGATTTCAGTTTGCATAGAATAATCTCTGAAGGTACTAATCCGATTTTAAAAAAATACTATTCGGAAACTACTCTAAGCCCGGATTATATTTATTATTAGTTTTTTTTTTTGCGCGCAGACAAAGTCTCGGGTAACTGCTAGTTAGTTATTAGAAACTTTTGTTGTCGACCTATGAATTTAATTCGAGAGACATGACCCTTCAAAATTTTAAAGTATTACATTCAGTCTGTCTCTTTCACACGCCTCCAAATTATACCTCTCATCTCCGTCATGTAGCGAAATGAACCTAAAAGTGATGCAAATTTGAAACAGTACTGTCACATTCATTTAAAAAACCATTTTTTTATTACAATCCAAATATTTCAACTGGCATTCCCTTTCCATTAATACTTTCAACATGCCCCAACCGGGAAAGCACGTCTCCTTCCATTTTACAACTTTCAAGCGACATTTTCCGTTGCATCTATCAATCCTATTATTCAGAGTCACGCCTGGCATAGTCTACAAAGTTCGCTATCGAATGCCACTAATTTTACTATATTACTTTATCCTGGTAATCCGTAGATAGGATTCCTAGATCTCACTTACAATGCTATATAAATATTTTTATAGTACCTAAACCTAACACAGACCTAACCTAATATATTTCCACTTTATCACTAAACTACGTTTTCAAATTTTTTAGTACTTAACATTTTATCGCATATCAAAGTATCATTATCTAAATTTCGCATATCTTTCATCATCAGCCACCTCGTCATCTTACACGGAATCCATTCATATTTTCTTAGTCTTACTTCTACCGACATATTGATTCACTTTGAAATAATATTCTTACATTTTTTTCCTAATTTAAAATTACAACCAAAGTTACTTCCACGCTTCCTCAACATGTCGTTTCGCAATTCAGTCTTATTACTCCAAACAATCATCTCAACAGGCATTCTTCTCGCGTGCACTTTCAAGTTTCTTAAGTAACCCAACACTCCATTCCGTGTAGAATATCAAACCAAATAGGAACTTCATTAAATCCTATTTTCAATCTAGGTTCATACAGAATATTACCTTTACACGGAATTTTATCCTAAGAGTTGGTTTTTCCAAGAATTATTCGTCGCTCAAAGCTTCTAGCAGCAAGAGAAATCTGCTTGCTAATAACACAAATAACATACGAGCCACACTCTACTTGATTGAAATTATACTCAGTAAAGCTTAAAGGTAACAGTTCCCCAAACATTGCAATTATGAAGCTTTACATTATAATATACTAGTAGTCGCCCGCGACTCAGTCCGCGCGGAATAAAAAAAACTTAATACGTGACCTATGTGTTCTTCCAGACAAAATTCTACATGTATACGAAATTTAATTGAAATCCGTTCAGCCGTTCCGATGACACCTTCATCCATCCATCTAATCGTAGATAATTTTTTTTAAATGAAATATTTTGAAAAATTCAATTTTAAATCAAGTATTAAGTAATATTAATTATTACTTAGTCATTGTAGCAAAAGTTAGTTTTTATTATAATAATTTTATTTGGAATCTAATAAATCAATTACTATCATTAAACGACAAGAGCTTAAAGTTTTAGTCTATTCATCAAAAAAATACTGATATTTATTGTTGGTGTATTTTTAAAAATATTTTTTATTACTTAGTTATAATTGCATGATTTATAATTACATATTTTTATTTTACTAAACGTCCGAGTACAGGCAGGTTGCAAACCATAAAAAAGTAGAAAAAAGTTTCATTAAACCCGGTCCGACTACAAATGATTATTATAACGCCAGGAAGGTGACGATGCAATCTAACGTATATTAAATTCCTTGTTAAATATCGCTTTGATATAATTTTCATTGAAATATACAAATTAGATAGTAGGCAAAATGGTAGCCTATCATTTTGAAAGCAAACGAGTAAACGGCTCATTTGATATTAAGTAGCAATTGCCGCAAATACTCTCTGAATATTGATGTGTATCGATTTTATGCAACAATTCGTTAACTTCAAATAGGTTTACTTTGTCTAAAGAGGTTTCTACCAATGTTCATTACAAAAACTATTTCTTCATCGGAAAATTCAACAAAGACAATAAAATGAGCAACCGCAATGCATTTAAAAATTAAACAAGGTTTAGGCTAAGTGCCATCTGCGCTCTGCCACCTCAAGCCCGGTGAAGCTGTAAATGCCTCCTCAAGGCAAACAGTGGCAATCAGTCAGAAAAAAAAATCATTTTAAAAATCGCATTTTTCGAAAATCGGATTAAAATCCCGCGACCGTGAATTGACACATAAATTATTTGCAATCATGGAAACAGCACAGCATCTAGAGCCTTAATAAAGAAGATAGCATAGCAAAAAGACAACAAAAGAATTTTTTTTTCACCAACTGGTAAAAAAATCACACCCATGCATATGGTTAAAACATAAGCACAATTTTCGCCAGCGTTAATTTTTAAAACCGATCCAAAAAAGTTATTTAAATTGAAGAAAGTAACGACCCATATGTTATACGATTATGTAACTACGAGATATAATTAAATAAAAATAAATAGTCCAAAATATATCTACTAAAATGATTAAAAAGATAAAATAATAAACTTATTTAAAAAATTATTAGTTTCAACCCTTTATAAATAAAAAAATATGATACAAAAATTACATAAGAAAATATTAAATACTAAAATATTCGCATAAAAAAATTAGAATAAATATTTTAGAGCTTTAGGAAGTTTTCCTGAGCTTTTTATTCAATTCTAACTTGTTAAAATGGCAAAGTTTCTTAGTACTTACGAGAGCGCAGGCAGCACCGATCACACTTGCAAACGGGTAAAAGCTCGCGACGCAACTGGTGCCTCTTTCAAGCAATCCGATGCGCGGGGGAAACTGACCCAGTGTTACCAATGTACGCAGTTAAAATTTAACATTAGTACTGTAATTATTGTAAAATATTACATATAAATGTGTATCTTGGCTTATTATTATTATTATCTTGGATTTTTGGCTTATTTAGACTTAATATTTAATATTTTTTTTTTACACAGAAATAGTTAAAGAGCCAAAAATATGGGAAAACATTTTGTTTCCTTAAGTTTATTAATTTCATCAACTTTTTTTTATATATTTTAGCTTTAACGTATTACTACCATTTACATTGTTAATTTTGTAATGATCATTGAACTTTAATAAATTTCTATTGTTTTTAATAAATAATGTTTAATTAATCGTATTTTAAAGGCTTCAAATTGGCCGCTAGATGGCAGTGCACCTTGGGAAATTGGTTCTAACTATTCGATGATAGATGGCGCTGTTTTTAAGAAATACGTTGATAAGAAACACTGACAAAACCAATTCTTACTAATTAAAAAAATACTTAGCCTCCCCGTTGTAGAAAATTATACTCTAGACTAGTAAAATGAAGAATACCGTCGTTTAAATTTTACAAATCGAACTAGATAAATGTGTATCACCAAGTTCTTTTCACGCTAATTCTAGAATATCGTGAGTCTGTTTTTATCTTATTTTCTTTGAACGCAACTTAAGGGCATAAATTATCTTAATTATAAAATGATACAACAAAAAAATATTACGAATTTTTATTTAAATATAGATTTGAACACACTTAGGACTAAAACATATAAATAATACTTAACGTATGTAACATTTTCGTTCGATGTGAAAGATTTTTCACAAATAAATAAAGCAAAATAATAGTACTTATTTGCGTCTTATAAACTAAATTAAGTTTTAGAGAGTAAGTAAAGGCGGAACTGTGTCTTCAACAAAGAGACCGGTTAATTCTGAAAACAAAAAAAAACAAAATATTAACTAATTACAATAAAAACAAAACACAAAACAATAATTTTAAAATCCGATCTAATGAACCTAAATCCGAAAAATACTTCCTAAGTAATCCTTATCCTTCGTCCACGTTCAACCCATTCTTAATAAAATAACGATGGGAAGAAAAACAGATTTTAATTAGTGACCTCTGACTTCGACAAATCGGTTATTGTCACAGACATTTATTTCCTACCCATTTCGATATAAATTATTCAAAAACTTACACACACGTGGTATATTATTGCGCATGTGACTTGTGGAAAGTGAATTTATTTCTTTGACTGCAATCATATATACTCACGTAGCAACACTCAACGCCGAGATGCCTTTGTTTTGGACACAGCACTCCCCTCATGTGCACCAAATTGTCCTGGTCACAGTCCTCGATTCTACGGCACAGCCCCCCCTGTCTCACACAAGGCTCCTCCATAGTGATGAAATTTATCACTGCAAAATATTAGAAAAACATTAATATAAACATTTGGGTTTTAAAAATCAATGAACGCGAAGCGCGGAGAACCGTATACTTTTGAAAGATAAAGACGCGTTTCCACTACTTTACCTACTATTAAATATTTTTAAGAGATTGAGAGGAATGTCAAACTGTTACACGAGGGTAGTATAAACCAGACGATAGACTGTGTAGTAGACATGGGAGGTATTGCAAGTGCTCTCAAATAGTAATCAAAAGACGAAGACAAAGCAAAGACCAAGGGATATTGTTTAAAAAAACGTAAGTACATACAGTTGTGCTCAGATTTTATAAACAATAAACTCTGAGCATAATGTTCTATGCGAGGACGGCTCAGAGGTTTTTGTAAAAAGACTAGCACTTCAGTGCTAATCTTCTCCAATGGATACTTAATATCTGCTTAACTCTCTGGGTTACGAGTGTGTTATGTTATTATTAATTCATTTCTAAGAATTGTACATCGCGGCAATGATTCTGTTTTAACGTAAATAACGTATGAGGACGAGCTATGTGTGTTAGTGTAGCGGATTATTTTTAAGCAACCTTGACCGCTCGCCACACATTCGCTTCGATAAACCACACGATGTTTTCGTCCATTTTAATTATATCTTCTTGGAAATTTGCTGATATTGAGCATTTTTAAAAAGCAATAAATTTCTACAATTTTATTTGTAACTTTATATTTCTAATTCCACAAAAAAACAAATATAAATGTTTATATATCTACACTTGAACAGTATTTTGACTTGAGGTCTGCCTTGAGGCATTTAAACTTTTAATTTAAAAGTTTCACATTATTAGAAGCGCTAAGATCACCTATGCTTAAGGCTTTTCGCTAATATTATCGTGAATCTAAGCTATGTCTATACGATTTCCATATTGAGATATCGCTAAACTCGACTTGATGGGCCGTTGTCTAATTGCAACAAGGGCCGTTGAAGGGAAAGACGTAAGGAGAGAACGGCTGCAATACGAATATTGAGATATGTCTGAGTGATAAATAAGTTATAAATTAATATATAATATCTATAAATAAGTAAATAGAAATCTGAAAGTATCACTAGAGCATGTTATGAGGCTACGACATTAAAAGAGGGACAATATAAATTAGGTCCAAAAAGGATATAGGAAGGGGGTCGCCATAGAACTGAATGGATTGCCTTAGGTACTTAGGTACTTAGAGTTAAAATTATCCTGAAATAATATACGTTATGTAATACTAATTTTAAAAGTCTCCGTCCCGATTTAAATATTATTATTAATAACAGAAAAATACAAAACTTGGAAATTTTCTTTTGAAAAAAAATATAAAATAGTTTATAATATCTCGTAGGGTTTGTTATGATTTTGATAGTGTTGTAGCACCAGTACACCTAATCGATTTTTTAAAGTACATATCGATATCGATTTACTTTTAACCGTACAAATACGACCCTGTGATTTTTATAAAAACTAAAATTAAAAACAGATATGAATTAGTAAACGCTAGTTACAACCGTCTACTGTTATAACTTACTAATCGAATGTACAATAATTTAAAAATCAATTATGTTTAGTTATAAAGTAATTGAAATCTGTATCAATACAGATTATTCGATTGCAGCGAGCTATAAATAACAAATAGAGAAATCTTTAACAAATTATTATAACTGATAAGAAGAGTCTAGAAGTTGCTTGACAACATACGGGAAACATCATTAAATATTTACGAGCGGTAAATAAATAGAGGCATGTAATCTTAATTATAAATTTGATTTGAAAAAAAATGGAATTCAAAAACATGTTGCAATAAAATTTAATGCGTCTCTACCACACCACAAATGCGAAACGTAACAGCAAAAATGAAAACAAAGCGTAAATAAAAAGAAAAATACCTCTTCGTTAGATTTCGTGTAATACGGTTATTGGAGCAAACTAAATCTATGCCTAGTTCAAATCGAAATTGAGTCCGCTGTGGTTTCAGTTCACGGAAGTGTGTAGAGAGCAATTCGCTAGCAATCGTCGCTTTTGCAACCTTCAATAAATAGACTTACGTTCCATAGGTGCTCTTTCCAGTGGGACAGCATTGACGGTCACCAGTAACAACACGGTAACAGCAAACACAATTCGAAAATGCATTATTCGAGTATTAATATTAGTGAGGTAGCGAGCAGGCTAAAGTCGTATATCGTTTGGTCGCGAGATACGGCGTCCGATGCTTTTATACACATGACGTGCGTAAACACATTTGCGACGGAGATGTGCGTAAAGCTTGCTCACACGAAATGCAAAAATATATTGCGTAAACAATAACTATAATTTATCAAAAATATTTTATTACTTTGTAAGGATATAAAGTACAACAAAATATATTTATACCAAAAACTTTTTTTAATGTGCACCAAAAGATAATTAATTTAGTAACATTATAAATATGACAAAATTAATTTATGAATCAAGAGGTCCTTGTTTCTAGAATAAAAATATATCTATTATTGTATCATCTAATAATCATTGTTTTGTAATTTAAATTGTTGAAGTGTCAACAAACAAACACAAAATAATATGAAAAGTAAAAAACAATGAAGTAAACATAACATAAAAATGTAAATGAAAAATTAATAAACAGACGGAGGACATCATCGACAAAAGCAAATAGTTTCAAATTAAAAACCTAAAATGTAGGATTACGGGTATGTATATCGATTTTCGGAGCGGAAAAGTGAATAAGAAAGTGGAGAATAGGGAAGAAGAGAAAAGAAAAAGGAAAAGATTATACTCTTTATTCTACCTCTGTCAGTTCTCAGCGGTATTGAAATACAACATTTGTCGTGACTGCGCTTGAATGTTTATGCGATGTTTACACTCATTTCTACAGCATTATAGAGCTCATCTATCTTCCACCTTCCTTCATAATATTGTATTATGTTTGCGGAAACGTCAAATATATTTTAAAATCTAAGCCGGCCAAACCTTGACACAGCGCTGAAGGAATTTTTTCGTTATTGTTTCCTTGGTTATATAGGTTAACCGGATGTCTTGAAATAGACGACATGCCCGCTCGGGGAAACGCGATCCAACGCCGCAATTTTACGACTCCGCCTCGCTAAATTTCATCTGATTTATACGTGTTAGCAAGGAATGACTGGAGGGAACGGTTAGTCCTAGGTCCCGAGTTCTCTACAAAAATACTAGGAGCAGGTTTTACCAGGTTCATTGTAACGCCACTGATGCATAGAAAACCGGCGGTGTAGTCCTCATAGTCTACAAAAAAACCTTGTAATATATACTATGTATTTATACACATAGATTTATGTAAGCATATACAAAAACGGAAATTCGAAAGAGATGATTACACGGATTCAGATAAATCAAAATTACTTTTTGCCTACATATTTCGGGTGTTGGAGCGTTGCATATTTCTTTTTATAATTAATATTAAACAATTATGAAGAGATAAGTATTATTGGTATGCTAACTGTAACTGTAATAAAGTAAAAAAATCCTAAAACCACTGTAAAATAGACCTACAGAACTTTTTATAATATAAAGTCAGAATCAATACTTTAATGAGATACTTTCTCACAAC